TCTTTCTCTCTTTCTCTCTTTCTCTCTTTCTCTCTTTCTCTCTTTCTTTCTTCTATCAGTGCTGCTTTTCACTGTTCATATTTACAAATTTTACTTTACAAAGCAAATCTGAAAGCTGCCTATTATTGGGACATAGGTACACCTTCTCTCCAGGTTATATGTATTCCAGCTTTGTGACTTTTCTGCTGGTACTCACTCCACAGGTTTTGTTTAAAGCCTTTCTTAATTCTGATTCCCTAAACTACCTTCTGTTTACACTTGATACCTCACAAAAATTTCTGTAGCTCTTTCTCTTACATATGCTCTTCTTTCCTACTTGGTAATTCCTATGACTAAATTCCTAAGAGCTTTTTAAAAATGTCATTCTTAGTTTACTTTATAGTAATTTCCATACTTGAACAGTAACCTCTGTCATTGTTTGGGTCTAGCTTTCTATGTCCACTGGACAGATTCCATAATTTTTAGAAGTCAAATAAGCAAGTGGGTTCAATTTGAGGCTGCATATGACCTGTATGATCTTGACTGTGAGTAATTTACAGATCATATATAAAGTTAAGGATTTTGTATAGATTCTATCTGTGAAGTGAAAATGATAAAATGTCTTCTATTACCTATCTGAAAGTAGCAAAGGATTTTAAGTCAGGCAGAGGAGAACTGAATGATCCCCCTTTTTTGGGGCGGGGTGTTCTAATTCTAAATAAGTGTGGTAGAATGTTGTGAACCAAAATAGTTTTTATTGTTTAGTAACTCATTGCAGAAAACAGATTTAGAAAACAGTTAAAATGATTGATTTGATTTCATTGCAAGCCAGGAATAGTTTATCCACAGATATAAAAGTAAGCATTTAGAGGAAAAGAACGATTGACATGATTGTACATGATACATTAAAAAAGTAGAAATATAACAACTACACCGTACAAGGTTAAACAGAAGACAATTTAATATGATAATTCAGGGCCTAGGGCAGCAACAAAAACTTTAGAGATGTTTGTTTTACCTATGAAAAGACCAGAATTTAAATGGCTAACTTAGGGCCAAACATAGTGGTGCAGACCTTTAATCCCAGAAAATAGGAGGCAGAGGCAAGCAAATCTCTTTGAGGCCTTGGCCAGCCAGAGGTATAAAATGAGACCCTATAGCAGAAAAAATGCATAGTTTTTGTGCCTTCATTCTCTGTAACTGTTAGAGACACGGTTCTATGTTCCACCTCATCTTTCTGCAATGACCTCAAGTACTGCTGTTACAAGCATAGCCCATCACACTTACCTGCTTTTTTTTAAATCCAAAGTTACTAGGTACCTGTTATATGTCAGGTGCTATGCTTGGTGTTATTACCAGATCCCCCTGACCATAATGCATGTCTTTGCATAAGTAATACAGATCCATATTCAGCGATAAAGACATAAAATACATGAAAGATGGAAAATGAATTTCTTTTCCTGTTTAGGCTAAAATTTTGGGGAGAGAAGCAATTTCATTCTGATTCTGTCTTCACATTTCTCATATCAGTCTTATAACTTAAAAAAAAAAGATAGAGAGAGAAGGAAACAAAAGCCTAGTAATATTCATATAGAGCTTTTCTTTTAGGCTCCGTTTAAGGAACTGGCAGGTCATTCTTTCTGGTGAATGGCCTGTTTCCAATCTTTCTTGGCAGGACCTGTAGAAACCAGAGCTCAGAACCACCATTTAAATACACATATCTTAATTTCTAGACCTCCTTGTAGTGCTAGAATGATAAACTGTACAGGTAGTCCTCCTGGAGCTAACATTTTAGTTGGGGAAACAGACAGTAAGACACATATCAAATATTATGACAGGCCTTGGCAAGTGCTATGGAGGAAAACAGTAAAAAAAAAAAAAAAGAAAGAGAGAGAGCAAGATGAGAAAGCCGAGTGATCAGCAGTGTGCTGTTTTAAACAGGCAAGCTCTGTGAGCAAGTGATATTTGGACGGAGAACTCAGTGAAAATGGAGAGAGCCGTATAGGTGTCTGGGAACAAGCTTTGCAGCCATAGACACTGTCAAGTGCAAAGACCTTGAGGCAGGAATCTGCATGGAGTGTTTGAAGAATAGCATGTAGGGCACTGGGTAGCCTGAGATGAGCAAAGGACAAAAAGGGCTACTTAATAACCAATGCCAAGAGCTAATTACAGTGACGGAAATATTAAGCATAGTTAGCAGTTCCCAGACTAGAAAAGATATGCTGTGGTCATTTTAGGAGAGTTGTATGAAGGACGTGTTATTTGAATAGTCATTGGGGGAGCCCTGAACATTTTTGAGGCTTAGAATAGCAGAATCAGAGGTTTCTCCTGCGGAATGCTCATATAGCATTAGACTTTGGAGAGGTTAGAGACTAGGGAAGAGAGATCAAGCAATGGTCGCATATGAGTCTGAACTGGGATGTATGGTTAGTAGGAACTAATTGGAGGATATAGATTAGAGAACAAGGAGGCCTGAATGTATGTATATATGTACTGTATCAGGCCCAGTAAATGAATAAAAAGGGCAAAAGAGATCTGTGCCTCGATAATGACAGAAATTTCAAGCATGACTAGCTAAAATGACGCTAACATTCAAATAAGAGTCAAGAGCCAGACCAAATTTGGAGTCCGAGATGATGAGTTCAGTTAGACACGTAAATCAAAGATAAATGACTAAGATCACAAACACAGAAGTAAAGTCTGACCATGCGAGGACATTTCTTTAGTTTTATAGCATTAACAGTTTGATTTTTAGAATGGCATTCACTGTTGCAGATTACTGCTTTTACTATTTAAAATATCCTTTCTGTAGCCCGCCAATGAGATGAGGTCATATCCCATTTGAATATCATTCACTAGCCCATAAAC